GAGGAATCGCCAACACAAAGAATGGAAGGCAAATCTGAAGAAGTGCAGAGGTTACGAGACGAAGAAGAGGAGCGGAAACGGTAGGTGTTTCATAAATTCGAAAATTTTTGTTGCTCTCTAGGTTACTGTAGGGGATTTCTTTTGGCAAAAAATAACTCTCCAGTCATATTTTAGCAGTTTTTCAGATACAACAATAGATTAGCACTTTTCTAGGATTCGCGAGCACTACGATCGCCTCAGAGAGAAAGAAATGGAAGCGAATAGAAGTCCACATTCTCTTACACCTGGTGCCGTAAGACGCGAACCGCATCGAGTTTATGCGTCACCAAACTACGGTTATTCTCCTCAGGTGAGTATTGGTTTTTGAAGTTTCTCAGTTTTTTATTTGCTTTCACTTGATTATCTGAACAAGGATTTTTTGCTTTCGATTTTTTCTGAGTGTTTTATTGGATCAGTTTTTGTTGGGGAATTTATGAATGTGCAGCATGTCTCTTCGTTTTCTTGTGTATTCGCTGCGGCTTTTTCCATTGCATACTGTGCAATATAATCGATGAGACCAGAGCGTACAGTTACGACATTTGACTCTTTTTTCCAGCAGAAATGTTTGATTTGTTCGAGCCTTGTACAAAAGATGAATGTGATTCTATGTGTGAATGGTGTGGAGTGTGTTTCACTTTCAGTTTTCAACAACATCATCACCCTCTACCGATCCACCTCTGATCGTTGCGAATTCTCGATTCTATTTTAGCCTCAGGGCTAGGTATGCTTGCCTAAGAATGCCTAAAGCCGCTCCTCTTTCCTTTTCTAGAATCTACCCCTTTGTGTTATGTTGAACGTCCAGACCCATTTTTTTTCTCCCTTATTTGCTTGTCAAGCATGCATGCTGTCCTCGTTCTTTAGAGAGATTCGGTTTCTGTTTGATATCAAGAGATGCAGCACGTCGAGTGATGAGCGAAGCGCTGTTTTTCCATTTTTTAGTCTGCTTCAGAGCAAAATTCATGTGATTGCCAAAAATTGAGTGTAATCACGGACCTCTCTGCGTCTTTTTAGTCCTCAATTCGAAGACTGTATCACTGAAGGGACGCAGATAACGAGGTCCCAATAGCTTCCTTGATAAAATGTAGAAGTCCTACTTGCGCAAGATTGTCGATTATTGTTGTCTCGGCATTCCAGAGTCGCCGTCAATTTTCTTTGAATAGGTATATAGTATCACGCGTTATTTTGCCCTATAATGGATCCTCCGATAGAGTGAATTCACCTCAGCTATAGAATTTTACTAAAGGTTGCTGCACTATATAGCTCAAATAGTAGATTTGTCCACGTCAAAACCAAGCTTACCACCTTTGCACAAGCCACTTCTGACTGCAAACCACCGATTCAGGCCGGAATGTCGACCAGTGTTCCCGAATACGACTCCTACGATCTCATCGACAGATACCACCTACACCGCTACCCAGCCCCAGAACCGCCAGCGCCGAAAAGTTGTGCTGTCCCAACACTTGGAGGGGTCACCGCCACCTACCATACGAGAGTTACCTATGGAGGAATTCCGCAACCACCGCCCTACCACTACGCCATGCCAAGGTAACTTTTTTGAAGGTTCAGCATTGAACATCTGTCAGATTTTGGTA